TTCGTAACATATCTAGTATACAAGGCAAACAACAAAAAGTATAAATGGATATATTATAACATCTTTGAACATGTTCCAGAGTATTTTCATTCTGAAAAATCTTTGTTTAGAGTTTTAGGTTGAAACGTTTAAGCACCGAATATTAAATGGCGTTTTGTCCGACAAAGTGGCTTTTAGTCCAAAACAAACAGTAATGGCCACTTAATAGAATTCATCGCTCGTTAAAACTGGGTGGTGAGAGAAATAGCGAGGGTAAAAAATGTTTACAGGGATTACTAACTTCTCTCTAAATTTCTGAAACAACAACTCCAAGCTTTACAATTAGGTTGAACCAAATTGTCTTTAAATCACTATGTTACTTAGCTAATTGAATAAATATTGCTGCATATCCTAAACTCTTTCGATCGCTATAACGATATACTCTACATAACGACATGTTAAAGTAATGGGTTTCTGAGGGTCTTCGCTTTCTTCTCTGGATGCCCGGATTTAAATCCCAGCAATCTTAAAAAGAGATTTTTTAATTTAATACCGCCAACCCATTTGTGCAGAGATAACTTTTTTTTTATACAAAACCGAAATAAAAAGTTTTTTAGGATATGGGTACCATTCCTTTATTAAAGGACTTCATTTATTAAAATGCAAGCAAATTTTTACTTTTTTATGACTTACTAAATCAATGAAATTTACTCACTTATTCTTGTGACTGACCCCGGAATTAAATGTGGTTATGTAAAAAAGGAAAGAGTAATGCGACATCAGAATTTTTTTTTCCTACTCACACATTCCCTGGGAGGATAGGCTTTAGCTAAGACATTTTCCACACATTCCCATTGATCATCTCTAGATAATAGTGACACTACCACGTAGCTGCAGGACATCTGCGATCGTCAAGATTTGAACCTACAACCTCGGGAATCGAAGTCCGTCGAACTATACTACTATAGTTCGATGTGGGAGTCCCACTATTTTCCACTAGACTAGCTCGCTCTTAACGATAGCATACTAAATTTAAAACAGTGACTAATCTACCACTCTTGGTACTATTACAAATTCATTGTTACAATGTTATCTAGTAAAGTTATTTTTATTTTAATATGTAAGTTGAGTACCGTAACACAAGTATTTATCCTACAATATACCAAAAACGAGGTGTTTTGTTAAATAAAGTATTTAAATCATAAACAAAAATTACCTTACACATTCTTATATTTTTGTTAGGATTTATAAAACACGTAAATCATTTTATTTTGATTATGTAAATTAAAAATACAAATGTTTCGTTTTAAATTTTACTGTAAACACATTAAAAGTGATGTTAAGTATTTATTGCAACGGAGGGATTAGGTTTCATGGCAAAGAAGCCTAGCAACGACACCCTCAGTTAAGTGGTGTGAACAGTAATCCCCTCTTAGCACCCTTAAAAGTCATCTAAAGAAGTTAATATCATACGTGACACTATACAGGGTGAATTATAAGTCAGGACCACCCATCTAATACTTTTCTGAGTAAATATACATAAATAACCTTTTGGTAGTCTTGCAAACTTAGAAAGAAGTTTCATTTAAAGATTAAAAGTCTTTCAATGTCCCCAAAAAATTGAAGAATTTTGGGGGAAACTCTTAAAGTTAGTCTAAAAATTAGGTGAAAATTTTTACAAGCAAACCATCCTTTACATGACACCTCATTAATTGTAAAAACTAGAGTTTGCTATATGTTCTCTATCCATAGTAGCCCGTCAAATGTATTAAGAAGTATGCAATAAAAATATATGAACAAATCAATGTAATGGTAATATTGGTTTCCATTTTGTATAGAGAAGAGATAGCGAACTCTGGTTTTTACCATACTTTTAATTTTTGTTAACACTTTAAAATTAAGTGTCCCTTAAAAATGTGTGTTAAGCCCGTCAAATGTATTAAGAAGTACGCAATAAAAATATAAGATCAAATCAATGTAATGGTAATATTGGTTTCCATTTAGTATAGAGAAGAGATAGCGAACTCAGGTTTTTACCATACTTTTAGTTTTTGTAAACACTTTAAAATTAGGTGTCACTTGAAGGGGGTTTACGTTTAAAAATATTAAGTTGTTCCCGAATTCCCCCTTTATGTGGGACACTCAAAATTTCAAATTCATAAAATGAAACTTCCTGCTAACGCTGCATGACAACCCAAAGAATAACTCTGTAAAATAAACTTAGGAACAAATTAGAGGGGAGGGATATGACTTTGTACACAATAAGTTTAATGTAAGAGTAGACGTCATTAAACATTTGACAGGCTACCATTTATGATAGAACTCTAATTTCCACATTCTTTAAGTTTGTATAAACACTTCTAAATGAGGTTTCACACATTTTTTGGATTGCTTCCAAAATCTCCCGTTTTTGGGGGACACTTTAAATAGTCAAAAACGTCAAATGAAACCTCCTACTAAGTTTGCACGACCACTGTATCTGTATATTTAGTTAAAAAAATATTAGGTCTTTTATTATTAGATTTTTTATTCACTCTGTATAATAAATACTTGGTGTGTTGAAAAAAGTAATCTATGTTTGGTTTACTATGAATCAAAATAATGTACTTTATAAATATAAAATGTGGTTTGCACAATCACAAGAATATGCTTCAGTCCCGTATGTTAGAAATGTATTCTTAAATCTAAAATAATTGCGATTGATTAGATTCTCGGAATATCCATGAAATACATTTAAAGTTTCTACTGATAGAAAAATGAGGATTTCCTAAAAATAATATTTCTTCACCCAATATAGCCATGAATAAAAAGAGTAAGTTATTAATTGTTCCCGTTTAACAAATAAAATAAAAACCAATAAAGCAAAATTCTCAATACTTCAATATCACAGAATTGATTTTAGAAAAGGTTTGAAATGGGTGTTCGGTATCACAAGAATGGGTCTATTAAAAGTAAAAGCAATCACCCGCTGGAATCTGAATACCGGAATATGAATAGAGTGGTTAAAAATGAAATATCTGGAAATGTCCAAACAAAGATAAAAGGACCTTATGACAAAGAGGGCTCACTTGTTATGAGGAGGTTTATTTCACATTCAAACCTTCACCAATTTTTCATCGTTCCGCGTACTCATTTCTCATATTTTTGTTTTCCAGAATTGCCCTTCCATTCACAATGCTCATATCTCTGTACTTTGTTGGAAATAAGATTACGGTGGGAAATGCAACAGTTATTGTTATGTTTATGAATATTGTTTAAAAATATTTTTTACCTGATTGTGTAAAAAAAAAAAAAAAAATTCACTGTAAGGGGTATTCATGATTTCAATAAAGTGTACATTTTAGATAAGAAAATACGAAATATTAATGATAATTTAATACATCTGTTAGAAAACTTTCCTTTAAAAAGAAGATTTATAGATATAAAAAATAGTGGCATTTAAAGATTTCTATCACATAAAGGTGCAAAAGGTAATTTTTCAATTAGATTACTTTTAACCTTTTCTTGTAACCTTTATCTCGCAGTAGTAATACTTTGGGTACTACCATATGTAGATTTTTAAAGCTTGTGCCATCTCTGCAAGTTTCTAAGCCAGTGGCATTTTTTACCAGAAGTCAACAAGAGGTCAAACTCTTTCAAGGGAAAGCGGTCCAACTCCATATTACATTTTTTGGATGTGTCAGGAATTGATCCCGTCCCTCTCGCACCAAAGTCCGAAACACTAACCTCTGGGCTAGCATCACATCCATAGTGCCTAAACAATACCATTGAATATATCAGACAAGCTTACAAAATATACATAGGGAGGGTTATATACAAAATACTATTAAAAAGTGAATCCAACACAATAGAAAATATTTATTTTAGTATAATTCAAGTTCTTGAACCTAGGATGGCAAAATACATGTTTTTATTTTTGTATTCCCGTAATAACTTTCCAGATATAAATCAATTGGTACAGCTAAACAAGTAATATATAATTCATTAACATATTAGGTGAAATTGATATTTGTTTTGGCAGGCAAAATTCAAAAAAAAATTGTACCATCTTGTAATTCTAATAACGTATTTCAAAAAACATATGCACTGCAACCATACATGAGAGAAATCGTTTGATAACATACGATTTTCCGGAAAAATACTGCATGCAAACTTTAAAATAAAATCTGTTTAACACTGTGCTCTCAGTAACAAAAACAAAAACACTTCTAACGGTCTGTTATTCCTGGTGTTGGAATAAAAGCCACTTTGGTCTTCTAATTGACTTCACATGCTAAACCAGAGTGCCTCACTGCGTTTCCAGTCAGCCCTTTAAACCGTTACTCACCAATTGTTAGACAAATTTATTCTACTATTTGGATAATAGTTTATACTTTTTTATATTTTAAATTTTGCAATGATTATATTTTGTATTAAGGCTGATTTTAAATAGATTTTTTGTAAAAAAATCTTATTTTAACGATTACACAAATTTGTTATATAAACACTTTGAAGATTTTATTGACGCGTAATAGTTTTGATTCCGCAACTAATGATAAACTAATGACTGGCTGGGTAACAGAGTGCTGCTCACCTAACAATGAAAAGGAAGCTAGTTCTATCCTGAGAAAAGTCAGCAGCTTTTTGATGGTTCAAAACCTGACCCAGCTGTTCCTGACCATCGGGCTTTACATAAACTATCCCGACTAATGAACCAGCTGATCATAGTCAGTACCAAAGCTACACTGATCATTTCAAAACATTCTACACTCATCCTACACTCATATTTGGATTATATACGCACCTAGGTTGCGTCCTCATCTCAAATTATTGATAAAGAAAATCAACAAATTAAAAATGATGTGTTAGGAAACAGTTTGTTAAATGTATTTTTTTTTATAAACAAAGAAGTGGTAGCAGCATTTTACTTAGCAGCTACCAGAATCAAGCTACTCAACGATTTGGAATTTCTTCATTAAAAGCATATCTATATTGAATATAGCAACTTAATTTGTGACCTAACAGCTGACATTCGTTTTCAGGTGTTCCTCAGACGTGAAGTGAAGTGTTATCAGTGAAGTGGCAGTGACCTTTGACATGTGGTCCTCTCTAAATCAGCTGGCCAAGTATGACACAGCTGGTGTGGGGTGTTGTCTGCTCGCCTTTGTACTCTACTATAACACACTTGATGCCGACTTCGTCTATGATGACAGGTAGGCAAACGTTTGATATATGATGCTGTTAAATCAGGTCTATAAATGTAATGCTTCTAGAGTACTATTTTGAGTTCAGAGATATCTTTACACGATTTAAGACGTTACACCTTATGCTATCTAGTGGTGGAAATGAAATTAAACAATTTTCTGAAGTTAAAATTGAATGAACAATTATTGTTTTCTCTAAACATAACATTCCACCCTACGTCGGTTCATTATGAATTGAATTTCAATTATTTTTGAAGTGCTCCGTCTTGAAGCACAAGTTATTTTAACTCAAATCAACCATTACTGGTACATTATTACAGCCTTATCTGGTAACGATGCCAACTTTAAGAATTTCTATTGAGGTATGCAGAGCTACCATAAAGAAGGCAAACTAAAAAAATAAAAGTATGTCATTAAAAATAAAAATGTTCAACTATTGACACATGTGTTTGGTGTACGCATTTCTCTGCCAAAAGTCATGAATGGAAATTCAAACAAACCAAATGGAGTGGTGATTGCTGTTTTTTGGATGTCATCTTCGTGGACGGGAATTTGGTGGTAAGCCTTGGTCAAATCAATGGCAGAGAAATGCGTACAGCCTGCTAAATTGAACGAGAAATCCTGAATATGTGGTACAGGGTATCTGTCAGGAACAGTACGAGCATTTAAAGCGCGGTAATCACCGCAAGGAGACTGGGAACGACCCCTAGGTCTCACCTGTGTATCTCGTACTCTGGTTTCTGATAATGCTTGAACTTGTTTAGAGAGGGATTCTATTGCATTTAATAAAGAAGCGTTACCTGAAGAGACTTCACAAATACCAGGTGTTGAAGGAATGTCAGCTACCTCCATGATCTTATCAGCCAGTTCTGCCAGTTTGTCCAAGGAGAGCTCAAGTTGCGTAGTCAATATGGCTTGTGAATGAGGAGGGAGTCGTCTGAGCCACAGTTGACGAAGCATGTTGTCTTGAAGGGGAGTCGAGCCCGCAAGAGACCTAAGATGCCTCAAAAACTGAGAAGGCTTGCGGTCTCCAAGGTCCTCTTCACTCAGCAGCCGCCGCACACGTTGCTCTTCGGATGCAGAGAGGCGTTCAATCAGTTTCTTTTTTAGATGTCCGTATTTGTCGCCTTGAGGAGGGTTTGTTATGATGTCTTCGACTTCAGCAGCAATTCCTGTGTCCAATTGCGAGACCACGTAGTGAAACTTGGTGTCGTCGTTGGTAATTCCAGATATAAGAAATTGCGAGTCAACTTGACAGAACCACAGACTTGGTCTTTCAGGCCAAAAGGGCGGAAGTTTGACGGCTACTCTGTTCACCGACATGTTTTGAGAAGTGCTGGGTTGTCCAATCCGTTGACGCAGTTCTTCATTCGCAGTTCTAAGTTCGGCTAGTTGAGTCTGCAGGTCTTCTAATGACATCGTTCGAAGGAGGAAACACAAAAGATTTAAACTCTTCAAAGAAAATAAGTCTTTAGATAACGGTTGTAGTCGGGGTCACCATTTTGGTCGTGGTTGTTCGTGTACATAGAATAAAATTATGACCAAATAAGTAATAGAAAAGTATTTTAATAAGAGTTAAATTGTGAGTACATTCCTGTAGAAAAACAAAGATCAGACTAACTTAATGCGTTGCTATGACAACGTCATCAGCTGACGCTACATGTGTAACAATTTTGTTGCAGAAAAACTAATCTTTTGTTACACATTTGCACCTACAGGTGGAGTTTATATAATACCTAAATAAGATACTAACTTTTAAGACCAACAAATACATCAGTGGAAATCGAAAAAAGAAACATTGTACAGCATTATTAAAGCTTAAAGGTGATTTAGAAAATACCAGAGATTACTTGTACTCAACATCTTTCAAACTAAAAACAGATTTTGCACCAATATAAAATAAACTTTTAGCCATGTGTAAAATGTGAAATATTATGTAAACACTTCAAGGGCTTGCAACACGTAAGGTTGAAGAGGAGTCAAGGGTGGGATCTGAAGTGGCCCTCAAAAACTCATTTAGCTTACCTTGACTAATGAAAACCCTTTCTTATAAATCCGAGGTCATCTAATAACAATGCACTTTAAATTCACACATTTAAACATTCGTCAAACGTAACGCTTATTGGGCATTATTCGGAGTATAACGAAACTAAGTTTACTGACACGATCGACATAATTCGAATTAACCTAATAAACATGTATATGTTAAACGATATTTTAACCGACCTTTTCAGAATCAAACCGAAAAACATATACAACTCTTAAGAAATTTCAAGATTTTTTTAAATTTTTCGCGAACAAATACCATCCAATTTTTTAAATAAATGTTTTATCAGTAAAAGACTAACATGGTTAAGTGTTCAAAGTCTGCATGGCTTTGTAAAATCCGTCCCTTAGGCCTCACTTAAAATACTGCGTTAAAGATCAAAAGAGTTCGGAGCTTGTTAAAGATCATGTCATGTTTAACTTTAATGAAATATTCTAAAGAATTATTCAAAACAAGTTCCATATATTCTATGTAAAATTAAAAGACTGATAGAAAGCTGACAATTTAACAAAATATAATCTAACCCTACCTCATGAATTGTATAACATTTCCCAAGCTGCCAGTACCTGAATTGATTAGTAATATAAAATCAAACATATGAACATTTTCGAGGTCACCCTGTATTTCATTGTTTTAAATTTAAATATATCAAAATATATTTCAGTGTTTTTGTAAAATATATATCTAAGTATCAAACATCAAATATATTTCTTTATCTAGGACTACTAAAAAGGGGATAGTTTTACAAAAGGTTTTATATGCAGGGTGACAAAATAAGTCTGGAAATGGCTTTATATCATTTTTACTAAATCCGTTATACAATTCAAACCTTTAACATCAACTTATATGCAACATTAGCCGGGAAAGCTGAAACCCGGTTAAATTTGTTTTAAAGATTGAATAATATTAGTCTATGAGCTAGTTGACTTTAAAATGCAATTTCAGCTCTCAATTTCGACTGTGAGTATTTACCAATACTAAGGCCTGTGCAGGTATTTTCCACAAGAACTTTGGACAGCCGGCATTTTGTAACGGATGAACCTTTCGAGACGCGGTTTCCGGCAATGAACTCCACTTGACTAACCCTTTAAAATGATGTGCATATCAACCTATGCTTACATTAAAGATTATATACCTACTCCTCATGGATCGTCCCCTGGTGAAGGAAAAGAAATGGCAATGCTTGGAAAAAGTAGATTTCATACATATAAGTTGATTTGAAAGGTTTTAATTTTATAACAAATTTATTTAAAAAGATATAAAGCCGTTTCCAGACTTTTTGTCACCCTGTATATCATCTATAAGGTGCCATAGCAATCAATGGTCAACCAAAAAAACTTAAAATGTTTAACACAGTTAGTATTACACAGTTAGTATTAACACATTTTTATTTCAGTTCATCAATCGTAGATAAAAATAATATCGTGCAGTAGGTTAGAATACCTGGATTTATTATATTATTGTTATCTATGTTCATTATTTTGAATAAATATATTTTGTCTTAAAAAATACTACAACAATATAACAAATAAATACTTGAAACTTTTTTATTCTAGACATGTGTGTTGTTGACGATTTTCGAAACAAAGGCTATAGATACATTTGAGTTAGAGTATCACTCTCCTAGCCTCAAGATAGAGTTTGATCGAACGAAATTTTAGCCGAAGCGGAAGAAGGTAGAGCAACAAATGTGTCCTTTGAAAAGCATGTCAAGAAGAGGTTCTGAAAGGGCTCTTGACGAAAACCTTACCTTCAGGCTTCAAAATCAACTTTGGTCCCAAGAGAGAACATTATATCTACACACTGCCTGTATTCTATCGTGTTTCTATGATCTGACCTATACACAACAAATATTTGAATTTTTCAAAGTTAATTTTTAAAATCCCTCCGAAATGTTTCTAGTTTTTTGCATCGGTATATGGTTCAATTTAGTGAAATACATTCAGCTTTGCACCAAGTTTTAGGATTGAATAATTGAATTAATTATTTATTGTAAGTAAAGTAATAATTTTAAATATACAATGTGTTAGTAAATTTCTAAACTGTACACATACTTATTAATATTACTAGACGTATTTATATTTAAATTTGTGGATATAATAAATGTTTAGTAGTAACTAAACACATAAAAACTGCATACAAACCCCTTTGGACTGTTTATAAAAAATAATTATTTCCTTTAACTTATATTTGGATAGGCTAGAATAAAGGGGCAATAGGATTTTTTATTACAAAATGTAAATAATAATGGCTTAGTAGAAGCTTTACTTGAACTTTACCTTATAGTAACTTATATGAAAGTAACTTTGCAATAAATAGAGAGCTAAACTTAAAGTATTATGATTACACTTACTTTGGGCCTACTGTAAAAAATAAGCGCCATTAATAAGTAAAACTCAAAGGCTCAGCTCAGTTTGATCAAACATTCCCTTTGGTGTAATTAAATCTACTGTGAGGATAATTAAAAAGCTTTTTGAAATTAAGAAACATTGTGGTTTTCGTATCGTTGCCATGGAAACCAATCAGTATTTTCTCCTCAGTTTCTCTATGAACAGTGATACCAACATTTTTAATGCCTGTGTACAGCCCAGAGCGGTAATATTAAAACCGTAACATGGGCATAACACTCCCCAGTACATAGCCTTTTTTAGCACGCTAAATTAATTTTGGCTTATTTATTGCTTTACATTATTTTAAAACAAAAACTTCTTCATATTATACACGTAACCTTAATTTAATAACGGATGTACCTAAACATAAATTTTTTACCTTGGTTATGCAGTAGGTAGGGACTTACTCAGAACCTGACTGAGTGTGAGATCGTCACTTCTTCCTTTGGGATGCTTTTGAGTATTCTACCTCAAAGTGATCCGAGCCAAAGGGGTTCCCTATTGCTCTTAGCTAATTAAGAAGATCTGAGGTAGAGTTATTAATGTAGGCTGATTCACAGTTAATCACCATC